ATATATATATTTTTTCTTCCATGAGGGTAATTGGCCATAAAAGGTTAACAAATTCTGCTGCACAGATCACCTTATCTGTCTCTTTAGAGCTCACTCACAATGTGATGTGCGTTGTGCAGAGGTGGCGTCGTGCGTTGTGCAGAGGGTGGCGTTATGCGTTGTGCAGAGGTGGCGTCGTGCGTTGTGTACAGGTGGAGTTGTGCGTTGTGTAGAGGTGGCGTCGTGCGTTGTGTAGAGATGGCGTTGTGCGTTGTGTACAGGTGGCGTCGTGCGTTGTGTACAGGTGGCATTGTGTAGAGGTGGCGTTGTGCGTTGTGTACAGGTGGCGTCGTGCGTTGTGTACAGGTGGCGTTGTGCGTTGTGTACAGGTGGCGTCGTGCGTTGTGTAGAGGTGGCGTAGTGCGTTGTGTACAGGTGGCGTCGTGCGTTGTGTAGAGATGGCGTCGTGCGTTGTGTACAGGTGGCGTCGTGCGTTGTGTAGAGATGGTGTCGTGCGTTGTGTACAGGTGGCGTTGTGTAGAGGTGGCGTTGTGCATTGTGTACAGGTGGCGTCGTGCGTTGTGTAGAGGTGGCATCGTGCGTTGTGTAGAGGTGGCGTCGTGCGTTGTGTAGAGATGGCGTCGTGCGTTGTGCAGATGTGGCATTGTGTAGAGGTGGCGTCATGCGTTGTGTAGAGGTGGCGTCATGCGTTGTGTACAGGTGGCATCGTGCGTTGTGTAGAGATGGCGTCGTGCGTTGTGTACAGGTGGCGTCGTGCGTTGTGTAGAGATGGTGTCGTGCGTTGTGTACAGGTGGCGTTGTGTAGAGGTGGCGTTGTGCATTGTGTACAGGTGGCGTTGTGCGTTGTGTAGAGGTGGCATCGTGCGTTGTGTAGAGGTGGCGTCTTGCTTGTGTAGAGGTGGCGTCGTGCGTTGTGTAGAGATGGCGTCGTGCGTTGTGCAGATGTGGCATTGTGTAGAGGTGGCGTCATGCGTTGTGTAGAGGTGGCATCGTGCGTTGTGTAGAGGTGGCGTCGTGCGTTGTGTACAGGTGGCGTTGTGTAGAGGTGGCGTCGTGCATTGTGTACAGGTGGCGTCGTGCGTTGTGTAGAGGTGGCGTCGTCGTGTGTTGTGTACAGGTGGCGTTGTGTGTTGTGTACAGGTGGCATCGTGCGTTGTGTACAGGTGGCGTTGTGCGTTGTGTACAGGTGGTGTCGTGCGTTGTGCAGAGGTGGCGTTGTGTGTTGTGTAGAGGTGGCGTCGTGTGTTGTGTACAGGTGGTGTCGTGCGTTGTGTACAGGTGGCGTCGTGCGTTGTGCAGAGGTGGCGTCATGCGTTGTGCAGAGGTGGCGTCATGCGTTGTGCAGAGGTGGCGTCATGCGTTGTGTAGAGGTGGCGTCGTGCGTTGTGTACAGGTGGCGTCGTGCGTTGTGTACAGGTGGCGTCGTGCGTTGTGCAGAGGTGGCGTCATGCGTTGTGCAGAGGTGGCGTCATGCGTTGTGTAGAGGTGGCGTTGTGCGTTGTGTACAGGTGGTGTCATGCGTTGTGCAGAGGTGGCGTCGTGCGTTATGCAGAGGTGGTGTCGTGCGTTGTGTAGAGGTGGCATCGTGCGTTGTGCAGAGGAGTGGTGTCGTGCGTTGTGTAGAGGTGGCGTCGTGCGTTGTGCAGAGGTGGTGTCGTGCGTTGTGTAGAGGTGGCGTCGTGCGTTGTGCAGAGGTGGCGTCATGCGTTGTGTACAGGTGGCGTCGTGCGTTGTGTAGAGGTGGCGTCGTGCGTTGTGCAGAGGTGGCGTCGTGCGTTGTGTACAGGTGGCGTCGTGCGTTGTGTACAGGTGGCGTTGTGCGTTGTGTAGAGGTGTTGTGCGTTGTCACACTGTTGACTTCCCTTTTTGTTTCTCATCTTTATTGAACTGTCACAATATGACACGTCAATCATTTCTATGCTGTGCATTGCGTCCCTCCAACACATGGGCATGACTAGTGCACCTGTGTTGATCTGCGGAGGACCCGGTATGAACGGGGCCCCCTTAGTCGTCCTTTTTTAGAGCCCCTTTTTTTTTTTGTCCTACCATTTTAAAGCCGTTTATTATTTCTTCCTCAATTAACACTTAAAAGGCATGTTGGGAGGTGCCGTCATGCGTTGTGCAGAGGTGCCGTCATGCGTTGTGCGTTGTGCGGTGACTTTGGTCTCTCATGGCCTTCTGACCCGTCGGCCAGCCTTGCACCTCTCATCCCCGCCGTAGACGCCTTTCATCTCCCTCCTCTCACTTCCCACACTACGGCGCCTCTCTTTTCTCTGCGCACCATGAATGGGCGGTGTGGGTTTTCCCCCGCCATTGTCCCGCCATTCACTGGGAAGTCTTTTCGGTGACTCCACTTCAAAACAAACACCAACCATCCGAAGAATGGAGCCGAGGCTCCTGAACAGCGATCGCCCGTCCATTCATGTACGCAGCTCATTTCACCGTAAGCCCGGGTTCACACTTCTGCAGTGCAGCACATCGCAGGCGATTCACGCGGGAACCGCACCGCCTTCCTGTGCAAATCACATGCAATTTCTGCGCGGTGCGCTTTGAACCATACATTTTGTACGGCTCAAATCGCACCGAATCCGCAGCAAACAGGTGCAGGACCCTTTTCGTTTTTGTCCGCACTAGGATTGGATCGCATGGGTGTGAATGCCCATGTACATTTGCAAACTGTTAACATACACCCCCGCAGCGGTTTGCATGACCCGGGTGCGATTGTGATGCGGTGCGGAATTCACACAGAAACCGCTGCAACTTCCACAGCACGGGTTCACACTTCTGCGGTGCGGCACATCGCATGCGATTCACCCGGGAACCACAACGCCTTCCTGTGCAAATCACATGCGAATTCTGTGCGGTGCGATCGGAGTCGTACATTTTGTGCGGCTCAAATTGCACATCTGCACCAAAAAGATGCAGAACCTGTTTTTTTTTTTTTCCGCACTAGAATCGGATCGCACGGGTATAAAACACCTCTGCCATCCCATTCTGCACATCACACCGCGCTTTGCAAACAGTTAACATACACACCGCAGCGGTTCACATGAACGGGGTGTGAGTATAATGCGGTGCGGAATTCACACAGAAAATGCTGCAAATTCTAAAACCGCATCTTCTGATGTGATGGGGGACCTCTGATGTGATGAGGGGACCTCTGATGTGATGGGGGGACCTCTGATGTGATGGGGGACCTCTGATGTGATGGGGGACCTCTGATGTGATGGGGGGGACCTCTGATGTGATGGGGGACCTCTGATGTGATGGGGACCTCTGATGTGATGGGGGGACCTCTGATGTGATGGGGGACCTCTGATGTGATGGGGGACCTCTGATGTGATGGGGACCTCTGATGTGATGGGGACCTCTGATGTGATAGGGGGACCTCTGATGTGATGGGGGGGACCTCTGATGTGATGGGGGACCTCTGATGTGATGGGGACCTCTGATGTGATGGGGGGACCTCTGATGTGATGGGGGACCTCTGATGTGATGGGGATCTCTGATGTGATGGGGGACCACTGGTGTTATGGGGGACCTCTGATGTGATGGGGGACCTCTGGTGATATGGGGGACCTCTGGTGTTATGGGGGACCTCTGATGTGATGGATGGGGGACCTCTGATGTGATGGGGGACCTCTGATGTGAAGGGGGGACCTCTGGTGTGATGGGGGACCTCTGATGTGATGGGGATCTCTGATGTGATGGGGGGGGACCTCTGATGTGATGGGGATCTCTGGTGTGATGAGGGGACCTCTGATGTGATGGGGGACCTCTGGTGTGATGGGGGACCTCTGATGTGATGGGGATCTCTGATGTGATGGGGGGGACCTCTGATGTGATGGGGGACCTCTGGTGTGATGGGGGACCTCTGATGTGATGGGGGGGACCTCTGGTGTTATGGGGGACCTCTGATGTGATGGGGGGAACCTCTGATGTGATGGGGACCTCTGGTGTGATGGGGAACTCTGGTGTGATGAGGGGACCTCTGATGTGATGGGGGACCTCTGGTGTGATGGGGAACTCTGATGTGATGGGGGACCTCTGATGTGATGGGGGGAACCTCTGATGTGATGGGGAATCTCTGATGTGATGGGGGACCTCTGGTGTGATGGGGGACCTCTGTTGTGATGGGGGACCTCTGGTGTGATGGGGGGAACCTCTGATGTGATGGGGAATCTCTGATGTGATGGGGGACCTCTGGTGTGATGGGGGACCTCTGATGTGATGGGGACCTCTGATGTCATGGGGACCTCTGATGTGATGGGAGGACCTCTGATATGATGAGGGGACCTCTGATGTGATGAGGGGACATCTGATGTGATGAGGGGACATCTGATATAATGGGGGGACCTCTGATGTGCTGCAGTTTCACTTTCACCTACAGGTCTCCTCCCCACCCTGTGCCTGGACAGTGAAAGGTGAAGGAACACCTCCAGAGCCTCTCCCATCCTCTGGAACTCCCTACCACAGCATGTCCGGTCAGCCCCCACCCTGTCTGCCTTTAGGCGATCTTTGAACACTCATTTATTCAGGGAAGCCGACCCCACCCCCACCTAAGAACTGTACTTGAGTCACCTCCATCAGACCATCCCCCGCAGCTATCACCTTTTGTATCCCCTCCCCCTTCCTTCTGTACTGAAATGTATTGTTGCTGTATTGTCTCCCATATATTGTACAGCGCTGAGCAGACCGTTGGCGCCATAAATCCTGTATAATAATAATGATGGCCTGCTCTCTCCTATCAGCATGCACTTTGCATGGCAGGTCTCCTGATTGGCTGTTAGTGCTGCTTCTCCCCTCTGCTGCGCTGCGCAGGCTGGAAGAGGCGGTCACCGAGTACAATGCCGGGATCCCAGTCTCCTCCATTCCTGTGCTGCGCGACATCCGGCCGCCTGGGGTCGCTGTGGCCCCTCCATCATCTCTGTGTGGACGGGAAGGACACGCCCAGCCTCGGGCGGAAGTGGGAGGTGCGCTTCCTCTCTGCCTCCTCCAAGATGGCCGGCGAGCGGCTGGTGGCGGAGGGGAGAGTCAGCGCGTTGAGCTTCTTCCTCGGCATGTCCATCATCTTCCTTCCGGTCATCGCCAACCGATACATCGAGGCCGGGCCCGGCCTGCTGGGGAGCAGCGGAGGACGCGTCACCCTCACCGCCTTCGTCGCCGGACTCAACGGGATCCTCCTCCTTCTCTACCGGGGGACTCTCTACCAGGTACACCACCGGGGGGCGCTCTACAGTGTACACCCACCTCACCACCACCGGGATGTGGGGGGGCGCTCTAATGGGTACACCCACCTCACCACCACATGGGGGGCGCTCTACCGGGTACACCCACCTCACCACCACCGGGGGGCGCTCTACAGTGTACACCCACCCTCACCACCACCACCCACCACCGGGGGGGGGGCGCTCTACCAGGTACACCCACCCCCCACCACCGGGGGGCGCTCTACAGTGTACACCCACCTCACCACCACCGGGGGGCGCTCTACAGTGTACACCCACCTCACCACCACCACCACCACCGGGGGGGGGGCGCTCTACCAGGTACACCCACCTCACCACCACCGGGGGGCGCTCTACAGTGTACACCCACCTCACCACCACCACCGGGGGGGTTGCTCTACCAGGTACACCCACCTCACCACCACCGGGGGGCGCTCTACAGTGTACACCCACCTCACCACCACCGGGGGGCACTCTACTGGGTACACCCCACCTCACCACCACCGGGGGGCGCTCTACTGGGTACACCCACCTCACCACCACCGGGGGGCGCTCTACTGGGTACACCCACCTCACCACCACCGGGGGGCGCTCTACTGGGTACACCCACCTCACCACCACCGGGGGGCGCTCTACTGGGTACACCCACCTCACCACCACCGGGGGGCGCTCTACTGGGTACACCCACCTCACCACCACCGGGGGGCGCTCTACTGGGTACACCCACCTCACCACCACCGGGGGGCGCTCTACTGGGTACACCCACCTCACCACCACCGGGGGGCGCTCTACTGGGTACACCCACCTCACCACCAACGGGGGGGCGCTCTACAGTGTACACCCACCTCACCACCACCGGGGGGCGCTCTACAGTGTACACCCACCTCACCACCACCGGGGGGCGCTCTACAGTGTACACCCACCTCACCACCACCGGGGGGCGCTCTACAGTGTACACCCACCTCATCACCTCCGGGGGGGGCGCTCTACCAGGTACACCCACCTCACCACCACCAACGGGGGGGCGCTCTACAGTGTACACCCACCTCACCACCACCGGGGGGGGGGCGCTCTACCAGGTACAACAACCTCACCACCACCGGGGGGCGCTCTACCAGGTACACCCACTAGGGGGCGCTCTACCAGGTACAACCACCAGGTGGACGGGAAGGACAGGGATTGGGGGGAGGGGGTTTTGGTCTAAGGGATGGGGTTGCGGGTCACGGGAGGACAGGGGTTGCAGTCACGGGAGGACAGGGATGGGATTTGTTCTATTCCTAGTAATAGGATTTCTCAGGTTACTCTGACACATCGGAGTAAAGCTGATTTCGGTGTCAGTGTGTGGGGGAGGGGGTGTCACATCTCGCTCAGCATTGTAGCGCATAAACAGAAGAAGGTCATACCCTCCTTCCCTCACAGGGGGGACCGGGGCCCCCTCCTTCCCTCACGGGGGGGAGGACATAAATGTCCTCTTCGTAGAGCGTTGCATGACCGCACAATTGTCAGTTGTAGTAACGCAGCGCCATATCACCAGAAGTGTCCCGGTCAGGAAGGGGGGGAATCTCCCGGAGCACAAGGGGTTAAAGGATTGTAAAATGTGACCCTTCCACTCACATCTATTGTGCCTCCACTGACACAACTATGCCGGTTCCATCAAAAGCAGCGCCACCTCTGGCCGATAACTCAAAGCCACATGCGTGAACACACAGTGCGTTGTGACGTCGCATCCAAATCCCGCCCTAACGCGTTTCGTCATCAGACGTCTTCCTGGGGAGGTAGGACTACACCCCTTTTCCTCCCCTGGATTTCTATTTGCTCTTTATAGGTGGCCTCACTGACCAATAGTCTCATGAGGAGGGTTGGGTGGACTTTAGAGGAAGTGTCAGAATTTGCATAGAGGGGCCCCGCCCCCATCTCTGGATCTGCAGATTGTTGTGAGGTTTTGTTATTACCAGCAGCCTGGAATCTTCATCCCATCGCGGGGTCTCTGGATCCATAACAGGGGCTCTTTGATTTGTTTCCGTGTCTTGCAGGTGGCCATCAGAGCCGCGTTCCTGGGCTTTGCCTTCGGCTGCGGGTTGTTGGTGGGTGTCAGCCAATCACAGTGGAGGCACTTCGGATGGTGAGTGTATGTATGGATCGCATACATCTATTTACTGAGAAAAATGGTGACGTGTTCGATACTTATTTTGCCCGCGGTATAAGCAGATTAAGCGCCTCCCGGCCGCCATGTAAGGTAATGACGGGCGCAAGGCGGTTCTCTTGTTCTGGGAGGAGTCATATGACGTCCTCCCACTCTAATCGCAGCGCGTCGATCGGCGGTGTGCTGTGTCCTTTGGACACAGCAGATCACTGATCCACGGAAAGAGCCGAAGATTTCGGCTCAGTCATGTGATCAGCTGTGTCTAATCACAGCTGATCACATGTAAATAGGGACATGCCCAGGGGCGGACTGACCATTTGGAAACTGGGGCACTGCCCGAGGGCCCGGGGTCAGTAGGGGGCCCCATACAGTCAGGTCCATAAATATTGGGACATGGACACAATTCTAACATTTTTGGCTCTATACACCACCACAATGGATTTGAAATGAAACGAACAAGATGTGCTTTAGCTGCAGACTGTCAGCTTTAATTTGACGGTATTTACATCCAAATCAGGTGAACGGTGTAGGAATTACAACAGTTTGCATATGTGCCTCCCGCTTGCTAAGGGACCAAAAGTAATGGGACAATTGGCTTCTCAGCTGTTCCATGGCCAGGTGTGTGTTATTCCCTCATTATCCCAATTACAATGAGCAGATAAAAGGTCCAGAGTTCATTTCAAGTGTGCTATTTGCATTTGGAATCTGTTGCTGGCAACTCTCAAGATGAGATCCAAAGAGCTGTCACTATCAGTGAAGCCATCATTAGGCTGAAAAAACAAAACAAACCCATCAGAGAGATAGCAAAAACATTAGGCGTGGCCAAAACAACTGTTTGGAACATTCTTAAAAAGAAGGAACGCACTGGTGAGCTCAGCAACACCAAAAGACCCGGAAGACCACGGAAAACAACTGTGGTGGATGAGCGAAGAATTCTTTCCCTGGTGAAGAAAACACCCTTCACAACAGTTGGCCAGATCAAGAACACTCTCCAGGAGGTAGGTGTATGTGTGTCAAAGTCACCAATCAGGAGAAGACTTCACCAGAGTGAATACAGAGGGTTCACCACAAGATGGAAACCATTGGTGAGCCTCAAAAACAGGAAGGCCAGATTAGAGTTTGCCAAACGACATCTAAAAAAGCCTTCACAGTTCTGGAACAACATCCTATGGACAGATGAGACCGACATCAACTTGTACCAGAGTGATGGGAAGAGAAGAGTATGGAGAAGGAACTGCTCATGATCCTAGGCATACCACCTCATCAGTGATCATGGTGGTGGTAGTGTCATGGCGTGGGCATGTATGGCTGCCAATGGAACTGCTTCTCTTGTATTTATTGATGATGTGACGGCTGACAGAAGCAGCCGGATGAATTGTGAAGTGTTTCGGGAATATTATCGGCTCATATTCAGCCAAATGCTTCACAACTCATTGGACGCTTCACAGTGCAGATGGACAATGACCCAAAGCAGACTGCAAAAGACACCAAAGAAGTGGAATGTTCTGCAATGGCCAAGTCCATCACCTGACCTGAATCCGATTGAGCATTTCACTTGCTGAAGACAAAACTGAAGGGAAAATGCCCCAAGAACAAGCAGGAACTGAAGACAGTTGTAGTAAAGGCCTGGCAGAGCATCACCAGGGATGACACCCAGCGTCTGCTGATGTCTATGCGTTCCACACTTCAGGCTGTCATTGACTGCAAAGGATTTGTAACCGAGTATTAAAAAGTGAAAGTTTGATTTATGATTATTATTCTGTCCCATTACTTTTGGTCCCTTAACAAGTAGGAGGCACATATGCAAACTGTTGTAATTCCTACACCGTTCACCTGATTTGGATGTAAATACCCTCAAATTAAAGCTGACAGTCTGCAGTTAAAGCACATCTTGTTTGTTTCATTTCAAATCCATTGTGGTGGTGTATAGAGCCAAAAATGTTAGAATTGTGTCCATGTCCCAATATTTATGGACCTGACTGTATATGCCCCTGGTACCTTTTTTTTTCATAGGATTTTTTGAGTTTGGGCAAGGACACAGGGGCCCCATGATCCCCTATTGCCCGGGGGCCCCATGAGTTGTCAGTCCGCCCCTGGACATGCCGGTTATCAGCATTTCTCTCCTCTTGAGCTGTCACACTGACAGAGGAGAGCCGGTAATCATTCCACAGAGAGGACATCTACACTGATCATCAGGGCACTGATAATCAGTGTAGCCCCAGCAGTGCCGCTGAGCTGCCAGTCAGTGCCACCTATCAGTGCCATATATGAGTGCTGCCTTTCAGTGCCCATCACTGCAGCCTCATTAGCGCACATCAGTGAAGGAGAAAAATTACTTATTTACAAAATTTTATAACAAAAACTCTTTATAAAAAAAAAAAATTGGTCTGTTTAGCAAAAAAAAAGCTTTTTCTGTCTCAAGAAATGCTAAAAATTTCATATGGGTACAGTGTTGCATGACCCCGCGCAATTGTCATGTGGGCAGGAAGGGGGTAGGAGTGCCCGGCGGGCGGGAAGGGGGTAGGAGCGCCCGGCGGGCGGGAAGGGGGTAGGAGCGCCCGGCGGGCGGGAAGGGGGTAGGAGCGCCCGGCGGGCGGGAAGGGGGTAGGAGCGCCCGGCGGGCGGGAAGGGGGTAGGAGCGCCCGGCGGGCGGGGGTTAAACATCAACCTTGTATTTATTACTGGGTACAAAATCCTTTAGTTTGTTCAGCTCTTATCAAACAAAAAAAAGTTTTTTTTGTCTTTTTTGTGCACTTTAAAGTGGATGTAAAGGATGAAGATTTTTTTTTTTTTACCTTCATACATTCTATGCATGAAGATGTGCAGCGCAACCCCTCCCCCGCAGCCCCCTCAATACTTACCTGCGATGTGCATGGTGGTCTCGGCTGTCCCGGGTTGCAATGCGCTACAATGTACTGGAAGGTCTTCAAGGGCCCTCGGTGACTCTGACCTGCGTCGTCGTAGTGATGATGATGGGACTTCTGTGACCAGGATGTGGGGGTAGTGATCTGGATTGCTGTTTTATTAACTCCAATCTCTCCCCCCCCCCCCCAGGTACGTCTGTTCTCTGTCCTTCTTCCACTACTCCGAATACTTGATCACGGCGGTGAACAATCCCAAAAGCTTATCCCTGGACTCCTTCCTGCTGAACCACAGCTTGGAGTACACGCTGGCGGCCATCTCCTCCTGGGTGGAGTTCACCATCGAGAAAACCATCTGTCCAGGTTGGTGTCTGTGGAAGGTTTGTCTATGTACTTTTCCTGAGGGAACTGAAGAACCTGAAAAGTACATAGACACACATGTATATAAAAGGTTATCAAATTCTATTACATGATGTACAACCTAAACACACAGATGTGCGACTCCTCCCCTAGAATCATTGTGTGACTCCTCCCCTAGAATCATTGTGTGACTCCTCCCCTAGAATCATTTCATGGTCCCTTCAGTACAGCAAAACCCCCAATACATCTTCCTTACAAAACGAATGTATACGACGCAGTCACAGTAGAATTTAGGAAGGTGATGTGAAGGTTAATCCCAACGCGTTTCGTCCAATGGGCTTCTTCAGGGGTTCCAAGGAGGGGGAAGCACTAAATACAGAAGGCACAAGATATGGTATACACCAATCATCTATCGTTACATATACTGGTCAGCAGATGTTCTAATTGCTGAAGAAAAAAAAACTTTTTTTTTTTTTTTTTACATTTTCATTCTGGCCTGTTGGAGGGTTTGTGAAGATGTGACGAGGAGGTTGGGAAGTGCTGCAGCAAATCAAAGTCTGACCGCTATTTTTTTTTTTTTTTTAAATGTTTGATCCTGCAACTGATACTTTTATTACTTGGAAATGTTTAAGAAGAAACAGAGTAACAAGCGCAGGAGTTTGTTACACAAAAAAAAACTGCGTACATTTTATTCCATCAAAATAGCATCATCTGCATGGAGTGCGCCAGGATCCCGCGTGTGGAAAACACTGCAAGCTGGTAGAGGAGAAGTTCACTTTTCACCATGTAACCTGTTCCTGCAGCCATGCTGCTGCACCCCACCCCCCCCCCCCCCCCCCCACAGTTCAGGGAAACTTCTCCTGTGAGATTTGAAAACAGCGGGGCTCCGCCCACATGGCTGCGTCACTCATTCACATGTTCTGTGAGTGCCCACAAGTCCCAGCAGCCTTAGCGATGGTTTTCCATGTACTACCATAGAGCTGTGGAGCGCTGCGATAGTTCATTGAAGGTTCCTGTCAGAAGGCATCTGCTTGATTGCACGCCCCGGATGTCCCCACATGCCCCGGACGTCCCGGATGCCTCTGTACCCCCCCCCTTCTTACATCTCCGTACCCCCCCCTTCTTACATCTCCGTACCCCCCCCTTCTTACATCTCCGTACCCCCCCCTTCTTACATCTCCGTACCCCCCCCCCCCCCTTCTTACATCTCCGTACCCCCCCCCCCCCCCCGGTCTTACATCTCCGTACCCCCCCCCCCCCCCTTCTTACATCTCCGTACCCCCCCCCCCCCCCCCCTTCTTACATCTCCGTACCCCCCCCTTCTTACATCTCCGTACCCCCCCCCCCCCCCCTTCTTCTTACATCTCCGTACCCCCCCCCCCTTCTTACATCTCCGTACCCCCCCCCCCCCCCTTACATCTCCGTACCCCCCCCCCCCCTTCTTACATCTCCGTACCCCCCCCCCCCCCCTTCCCCTTTCTTACATCTCCGTACACCCCCCCCCCCCCTCCATACGTTTCTGTACATCCCTATACGACAAGCAGATATACTGACAGGTCTGCAGGAGATCTGTATGGCATCAACAATCTGATGATGATCAGTGCGATGCTTTCCAGGCTCCTTTTGGACAAAAATAATAAGTGCATTTTTTTTTTTTACCTGCAAACTAGTCTTGAAACTTTTTGATACCACCTTGTAACTCGCCAACAAATGTCAGCACAAGTCTGCACGCACAGTCACGGGGAGCACCAACCTTTTATAAGTCAGTGTGCCAAAAGACATCATCCTGAGTACATCGGGAGCTGTGCAACTGGTGCTATTCTGACCACGTGTGTTACTGAGCAATTGAAGAGGCGGACCTAATAAAGAGGCTGGTGGGTGTAGATGACGCTGTGGGACTGTGTAAGGGACGGGGACTGTCAGTGGTGACGGGTTCTCTCTGGTTGATGTGGAGGTCTATCTTCTGTTCTTCGCAGGCCTGAAGCAGATAACATGGCTGAGTGTGATTGGTCTGGCGATGGTCATCTTCGGGGAATCTCTGAGGAAATCTGCAATGCTGACAGCCGGCTCCAACTTCAACCACATCGTCCAGAATGAGAAGTCGGAGACACACACCCTGGTGACCTCCGGGGTCTACTCCTGGTTCAGACACCCTTCCTACGTCGGGTGGTTCTACTGGAGCATCGGGACTCAGGTACTGCGCCGCTCCGAGGTCCGGTCTGTATCCGTGTGGGAGCCGTGTTCAGATTCCAACACACACGGGCTTATTTAGAGCCAAACTGACTTTTTTTTTTCATTTTAAATCTTCTAAATAATTTCAGGCACAATAGAACGGTGTCAGGTCTGAGTTGGTTTCCTTTAGAAAGCAGCCACAGCCGTAGTACAAAGCCTGTCACCTGTCAGCATGCCGCACAGAACCCTCGCTGTCTGGAAGCAGTGGTCTCTCTGCAGAGGTCTGACATGACACCCTGCCAAAGTGTGAGCTAGAGCCCCCCAATCAGCAGCGACCATAGGCTGGTGACAGACCTGTAATTCCAATGTGATTCCACCAGGGGTGTGTCAGACCTCGGCAGAGGGACCACTGCTTCCACACACACAATCCGAGCCGAGTCACACATATATGAAATGGATGCGTTTTGAGCCGCATCCAAATTGCGTGATGTGTGATACAACATTGCTTTCTGTTGTGACTGTCTACATATATCACACGTGTTTATGAAAATGGGCCTCACCGGAGCAATGGAACCCAGAAATGAGTTAGAGCCGCGCTTCTCCCACCTGTTCCTGTCCTCACCGCTGTTACCAACAAGTCCTGAAATAGCAGTTCTGGAAGGACAGGAGTAGGGGGCGGGATTAAAAGTAAAATTCTCTCCCCCCCCCCCCCCCTCTCTCCCCCCTCTCTCTCTCCCCTCTCTCTCTCCCCCCCTCTCCTCCCTCTCTCTCCTCCCTCTCTCTCTCCCCCCCCCCTCCTCTCCCTCCCCCCTCTCTCCCCCCCCTCTCTCCCCCCCCTCCCTCCCCCCCCCCTCTCTCTCTCCCCTCTCTCTCTCCCCCCCTCTCTCTCCCTCTCTCTCCTCCCTCTCTCTCCTCCCTCTCCTCCCTCTCTCTCCTCTCCCTCTCTCCTCCTCTCCCCTCTCTCTCCTCCCTCTCTCTCTCCCTCCTCTCTCTCCTCCCTCTCTCTCCTCCCTCCCCTCTCCCCCCCCCCCTCTCCTCCCTCTCTCCCCCCCCTCTCCTCCCTCTCTCCTCCCCCCTCTCCTCCCTCTCTCCCCCCCCTCCTCCTCCCCCTCTCTCCCCCCCTCTCCCTCCCTCTCTCCCCCCTCGCTCCCTCTCTCTCCTCTCCCCTCCCTCTCTCTCTCTCCTCCTCTCCCTCTCTCCTCCCCTCTCCCCTCTCTCTCCCCCTCCCTCTCCCTCTCTCTCTCCCCTCTCCCTCTCCTCTCTCTCCCCTCTCCCTCTCTCTCCCCTCTCCCTCTCTCTCCCCTCTCCCTCTCTCTCCCCCTCTCCCTCTCTCTCCCCTCCCTCTCTCTCTCTCATCACAGTGCACCCCACCTTACTTTGTGCTGCTGAATGCTGATACGAGGGGGTGCTGCAGTGAGAGATGCAGGATCTGTAGGAGTTCTGTCCTCCTTTCTGCTGCTGAGATGGGGGTGGCAGAGACGAGCCTCTCCACAGCTGCATTGGAGAGCGCAGGATCTGTAGAAGGAGATCTCTCCTCCCCTCTGCTGCTAACTCCTGAGACAAGGTGGGGGTGGAGACACAGGGGGTGCCGCAGCTGCAGGACATGTGTGTGTTACATGAAATGGCCTGTAGGGCCAGATTCGGCCTGCGGTCCCTGTGTTTGACACCCGTGCTCTACACGTTTCACCCGCTTCCTGTAACCTCAGGCTTCCTCAGGACATTTAGGACCACGTTGACAGTTCACATGTCCGGTGCAGCCGGAGTGCAGATTCAGTGCAAATGGAAAGAGTCCGGTCCATATTGTGAGCGGTGCAGTCCGGCTCAGGTGCGGCTTCAGGCTCATTGGCTTCTATGGGAAGCACTGTCAACAGGAGAAAATCCTGACCTGATCCTGAGGCAAACCTGTCCGAGAACGCTGAACTGCCACTTTGTCCATTAGCTGAGATAATGGAGAAGTTCCCAGACTGAAGGTTCTTCCTGCAGCATGCTGGCCAGGGACAGGCTTTTCTATCCAGGCTGTGACTGCTTTCCTGCCATCACCTCCCGGCCCTTTAACTGGGTTGATATGCTGGGAGGCGGGCATTCCGATCATGTGACCTCCTGTGGTTAGCTGTCATAGTGGTCACATGATTGGAAAACTCCCAAATGCAAGTAAGTATCGGGAGCTTTCAGTTTACATGTTGGGTGCTGTGAACGTTCCCTAGACATACATCTCCGGCCACTTTATTAGGTCCACCTGTTCAATGGCTCGGTAACACAAATTGCTAATCAGCCAATCGCACGGCAGCAGCTCAATGCATTTAGGCATCTAGATCTGGAGAAGACGACTTGCTGAAGTTCAATCCAAGCATCAGAATGGGGAAGAAAGGGGATTTAAGTGACTTTGAACGTGGCATGGTTGTTGGTGCCAGACAGGCTGGTCTGAGTATTTCAGAAACTGCTGATCTCCTGGGATTTTCCCGCACAACCATCTCTAGGGATTACAGAGAATGGTCCGAAAATGGGAAAAATATCCAGTGAGTGGCAGTTGTGTGGAGGAAAATGCCTTGTTGGTGTCAGAGGAGAATGGGCAGACTGGTTCCAGATGATAGAAAGGCAACAGTAACTACAATAAACCCCTCATTACACCCAAGGTATGCAGAATACCATCTCTAAACGCACAACACGTCCAACCTTGAAGCAGATGGGCTACAGCAGCAGCAGAAGTCCACACCGGGTGCCACTCCTGTCAGCTAAGAACAGGAAACAGAGGCTACAATTCACACAGGATCACCAACATTGGACAATAGAAGATTGGAAGAACGTTGCCGGGTCTGAGGCGTCTGGATTTCCTCCAGAGACGGTTGTGCGGGAAAATCCCAGATCAGCAATTTTTTTTCTTTAACCCCTTGATGCCGAGCGGCCACATATTTCCGTGTAATTATAAAATACATGTGCTGGGAGCGCGCAGACTCAGCACATATATGTCCGCGACTCCCAGAAAGATCCCGATCTTTCCTTTCGATCGGGACCTTTTCTGATCATGTCACTGCGGTCACATGACCCTAAAGCCCCGCCTCCCAGCTTCTGAATCTCTAAAAGGGCCGGAGGTGCCGAAACGAAGGTTAAAGCACTCCCGTCTGACTCCCAACAACCACGCAACGTTCAGTCACTTAAGTCCCCTTTCTTCCCCATTCTGATGCTCGGTTTGAACTTCAGCGAGTCATCTTCACTACGTCTAGATGCCTAAATGCATTGAGTTGCTGCCGTGTGATTGGCTGATCAGCAATTTACTAAACCTGGAGCAGCTGTGCACAGGATCCAATCAGCTTCTAACTTCAGATTGGTCAGCTAAGATGTAGTTCATCTTTTCACAAAAAAAAAAAGAAAAGGTGAACGAACGCCATCCACTGACCTTTGTGGAGGATTAGCGATCACTCCCCACGCAGCCGCTGCGACATTCCAGCGATTTGGAAGCCTTTCTCCTTTTGATCCTTCCCGGAGTCCCTGAGGAGCCGACTGATTCCAGAATGCGTTTTGCGTATGTGTTTCGTGTTTTTGCTGGGTTTCTGATGCTTCCCCCCCGTTTTTGATGCATTTTGCGTTTTTTTTCACATTTTTGATGCATTTTGTGTATGTGTTTACGCAGTTTTTAAATGCATTTTGCGTATGTTTACGCGTTTGTTTTTTTGTTGTGTTTGTGTTTACATGTTTTTTTTCTGTTTTTTGTTTTTTCTTTACATTTTCTTGTTAGACAGATTTAAAACTTAAAACACATCAAAAACGTGGCAAAAATGCAATACATGCTTTTCTGCAGTTTTTGATGCCTTTGCGTATGTGTTTACGCAGTTTTTAAATGCATTTTGCGTATGTTTATGCATTTTTGCCATTTTTAAACTTTTTGCGTATTTACGCATTTTTGTTTTTTATTGTGCTTTGTGTATGTGTTTATGCGGTTTTTAAATACATTTTGCGTATGTTTACACGTTTTTGTTTTTTTATTGTGTCTTGTTACGCATTTTTTTTTTTTTTGGATGCAGTGTGCGTTTGTGTTTACGCGTTTTTCCCGTGTTTTTGATGCGTTTTTTTTTTTTTTTTTTTTTTTACATTTTGTTAGATTTAAAACTCAATACGCATCAGAATCGTGGCAATAATGCAATACAGGCTTTTCTGCAGTGTTTCCATTGAAGTCTATAGAACCAAAAATGCAACTTTTCGCATTCACAGGGTCCCTGACCCTTTTTCCAAAAATTGCAGCGGGTGAGAACGCAGAGATGTGAGCGTTTCCCATGGAAATCATAGTAAATGGACTGCTGTGCGTTTCTGCAAAATGCTTGGGTGTGAACCTGGGGTTAGATCTTTTGTAAAAAAAAAACCCAAAATGCGCACAGAGGGGTGTCCCCGGTCAGTCATTGTGCCGTCTTGTGTCTCCAGGTTTTGCTGTGCAATCCGGTCTGTCTGGTCGGCTACACTCTGGCGTCCTGGCGCTTCTTCCGCGAGCGGGTGGAGGAGGAGGAGTAGTACTCCCTGATCCACTTCTTCGGAGAGCAGTACATCGATTATAAAAGGAATGTTCGCTCCGGATTACCGTTCATAAAGGGAGTGAAGATGGAGCCCTGACTCCGCCCTGTGACACGCCCGACCTTTCCTGTCCCCGGGATCTGGAATACGTCTGCTCCTGACGATCGATCGGCACCTGCGACCCGGACCGCGGCCCCCGACACAGAACACGTAGGAGACCATTTATTTTCCACTTTGTCCTTTTTTTATCAATCGAGGATTAAAGGGCTACGACGATCCGGTCCACAGAAGAGGCTGAAGGTGATCCTGAGGGGCCCCGTGGCCCTATCTGTGTGGGGATTCCAGTGTATACCTCGTCAACCTTTTTTATACAGAACTCCATATGACTCCTAGACTGCGATTTCTGTGTCCTTTTATATGCATGAATGTCAAAACCGTGCTGCTTCCACACTGACCTGCACAGTGCAACGTCCAATGGGAAGGCTGGGAGCACCGTGGCCCCGCCCACAGCACAAGGATTAATAGTTCTATTTATTCAATAATTTATTCCAGCAGGAAATCGATGCGTAAATCACTGGAGTGGGTGCAGCTCTGCTACTCGGTGCTGTGTAGAAGACGTGCGCAAGTAGGTGCTACGCCCAGAGATGGTGCCCGCGGAGGAGGGATGTCGGTGATCTGGCTCTGTGGGCGTGTCCTCCCAGCACAGATGCAACTGAACAATGAGGATTGGTAGAGCCGGCACTCGTCTTCCCTGAATAAGAAACTTTATTGAGCGAGTAAAATGTGCAATTTAAAATGGCTTACGCGTTTCGGCAATAAGCCTTTGTCCTATGACTAAGCATTATTGCCGAAACGCGCTAGAAATTTTATATGTGCGTCTTCCCAAACAATACTTTATTGAGCGAGTAAAATGCATATGAAAATGGCTTGCGCGCTTCGGCCAGAAAAGCCTTGGTCATGACTAAGGCTTTTTGCCGAAACGTGTAAGCCACTTTATATGCAGTTTACTTACCCAAAGTTTATTATTTGGGAAGACGAGTGGCTGTGACTAAGGTGTGTTGCCGAAACGCGTAAGCCATTTTATATGCACATCCTTCCGAATAATAAACTTTAGTGAGCGAGTTAAATGTGCATATAAAATATCTTACGCGTTTCGGCAAAAAGCCTTAGTCATGACTAGGGCTTATTGCCAAAATGCGTAAGCCAAGGCTTTTTGCCGAAACGCATAATCCATTTTACTCGCTCAAAGTATTATTCGGGAAGACGCGCATATAAAATGTCTAGCGCGTTTCGGCAATAAGCCTTACTAATGCCGAAGGCTTTTTGCCGAAATGTTTTAATCGCTCAAAGTTTTTGTTATGACGCGTGGCTGTGACTAAGGCGTGTTGCCGAAACGCGTAGGACGTTTTATAGACCCCTTTTACTCGCTCCATGAAGTTTATTATTGGGGAGACGAGTGCCGGCTCTACCAATCCTCATCGTTCAGCTGTGTAGAAGACGGTTTAAAGAGATGACGAGCCCTGAAATATCCTGCAGAATACGCACAAGTAAACGGTGTCTCCGCTGAGAGGGTAAACGGGTCGGAGGTTTCCCTGGTGTCGGTGTTTGGAGGGCGGATGAGATTTACAGCCAGCAATCATACAAATGATTCATGTTCATGGGGTTTTTTTTTTTTTTCTTTAAATGAGATGTTTTGTATTTCCTTCCCTGGCAGCGATGAGGCCGCTGCTTCCCCTCCAGTGTTGTCTGCGCTGTTACCAGGTGCAGTGTAGCAGAGGCTTCCCTCCATAATAAAGTATTACTGTCCCGCCGTTCTAAATGGCGCCCCAACTTCTGATTCCAAGGTTAGTACAGTGTCCCTTAGAGAGGCGGGGGGGGTCTAATAGAGAGTTGGGGTTTGTCTTACTGAGAGTTGGGGGTTGTGAGAGGTGGGGGTGTCTAACAGAGAGGGGGGGGGTCTAACAGGGTCTTTTTTTTTTTCTTGTTGTTTGCAAGCTGGCCAAAGTTCAACTTTAATCCTGGGAATGTCGGGAAGGTGTTGGGCCGCCGATGCGCCATAACTGACCAAAAAAGCAAATCACAAAGGAAGGAAGCGAGGATGAGGATGTCAGGCCTGGAACACGGGTCGGAGGTGACCACTCCCTCCTAATCCCCGCCATCACTTTTTTTTTTTTTTTTTTCCCTCCTGTGTTGCTGATCATCGTTGGATATCTCAGTCGAGCCGCAGGCATATGGAGGATGTAGATTGTGGAATGTATGGGGGGGGGGGGGGGGGAGACCAAAGATGGATCCAAGTGTGATCTGAAAAAAGTCTGCTGCCTGGAGCAACCAATGAGAAGGCGGCTTTCATTCATTTCTTAGTTTGCACTTGACTTATTTATGAAAAGTGGGGAAAAATGGATCCTTCACAGAACCCGTACAGAATCTTTTTTTTTTTTTTTTTTTTTTCTTTTTGTAGAATTTATTAAGGAATTCAGTTGCTTTGGGAAAGAAAAAAAGGTTCTGTACGGGTTCTGTGAAGGATCCATTTTTCTCCACCTTTCTTCATGAAAATTCCCATTACCGGGTTTCTAAATCCTTTTTTGGTTGCCATGGAGATGGGAATTTTTATGAGAAAAGTGGAGAAAAACAGATCTTCATAGAACTTTTTTTTTTTTTTTTGTAGAATTTTTAGTAAGGAATTTGCGGGAGGGAGGGAGAAAAAAAAGTTTCTGTGAAGGATCGTGTGTTTGTTTTTTTTTTTCCCCCACTTATATAAAGTCCCATTACCGGGTTTCTAAAGCCCCTTTTCTGGTTGCCATGCACAACACCATTTTTTTTTTTTTTTTTTTTTGCTCCACATTTGAGGCTCATTCACACAGGCGTCAGGCTCTACTGCCCTCTGAAAAGCGATCTGCCGGGTTTTTTTTTTCTCCGCAGGTGGTTTACAGGCATTTATTTTTTGTGCTTGCATTTAGTTTCAGTGCTGCAGCCGCCATAGCTGGGCTGCGGGATGGTCCTATTGGCTTTATTGGGTCGGTGTGACGGGCGGTACCACGTGGTGCGCAGTTAAAAATTGCCTATGGGCCTAGAGGCCTATGGGACGCAGTTTTTGCATAGAGGCCTATGGGACGCAGTTTTTGCATAGAGGCCTATGGGACGCGCTTTTTTTCTGCATAGAGGCCTATGGGACGCGCTTTTTTTTCTGCATAGAGGCCTATGGGACGCTCTTTTTTTTTTTCTGCATAGAGGCCTATGGGACGCTCTTTTTTTTTTTTTCTGCATAGAGGCCTATGGGACGCGCTTTTTTTTTCTGCATAGAGGCCTATGGGACGCGCTTTTTTTTTTTTTCTGCATAGAGGCCTATGGGACGCGCTTTTTTTTTTGCATAGAGGCCTATGGGATGCAGTTTTTGCATAGAGCTCTATGGGACGCTTTTTTTTCCTGCATAGAAGTCTATGGGATGTAGTTTTTTGCATAGAAGCCTATGGGACTCAGCCTGCCATTATCAGCACCTCTTCTTCTTTTTTTTTTTTTTATTTTTTTTTTTTTTTATATTGGCAAAACGTCAGTAACCCTATTTTTGGCCAATGATTTATAGTTGGCTGTATATCCCTTATTTTTTTTCTTTTGGCACCTTTTGTGTCCCTTCGGGTAGGCATGAAAGCTTTGGATTTAAAGGGACCTGCAGATTGTGATGTCATTCATCCTCTCTGTCTGGCTGCTGCTATATTTAATTTGTGAGAGAACACAGGCCGGTGAGGATGTACAAGTCCTCGCTCCACTGCAGCACTGTGAAAAGCCTGCTGAACCTGGCAGCAGTATATTGTATAAAACACACTAGAGGTTGAACACTCGTCTGTGACTTTAGCGCCGCTGCGCTGTTTCCTGGATAGTATGTTGTGTATCGCTCTATAATTCTAGGGGCCGGGTGTTACATCGGCGCACAACATGGCCGCCACAGCCATCCACACAGGACAGGTGCACTTTACTCTGCTTGTGCTGTTCCTGTAGACAATCAAATGTCAGATATACATTTCATTCCTTTCCATTGATCACTGGGTGAGAACAGGGTGCCAATCCATCGGACGAAATCAAATCACTTGGATACCATCCAGTCCGGATTGTGTTTTTGTTTCTGTCATCTTTAAAGCTTCTGGCAGAAGGGATAGACCAGGAGAGGGTTAGAACCTGGGCCGGGTATGTATTGGTGTTTGTGTCCCCAGTTGGGAGATTGCCTTCACTTCCTGTCCAGGTGACACCATACCACACCCAGACCAGTACAGAAAGGGAAGGCGAATCCCTTGGAGGCACAAGGCAGAAAAGAAAAACGGATCTTCTGGATCCTATTTCAAATGTTCAGTTTTGCGGTCTATGGGAGGAGAAGACGGGGATGAGAGGAAATCGTCCGCAAAGGAGATAAAGCAATAAAAAAAATATATATATAAAAAAAACCCTCACCAGAGGTTTCTAACCCTTCTCTGTCTAAAGCCCCAACATTTTTGCCCAGGGTTAAGTTTTGTAGAATCCATTTTCTATATTTATAACTCATGTCCCGCCATGTCTGTGTTCATCTTCCTGTTCGGCTGTAAATATTCGCACATATAAGGACTTTAAATAAAATTATATTGGTAAAAATATATCTGCAGCAGCCGGATTGTTTCCTGATTTGTCTCTGAATGTCTGATAGTTTTACAATGTTTCCATGTTGAATGTTTTCAGAACTTCAGTCATGTGTATCAGCCAGAGGTAGGTGACCCTGGAGAGAGGTGGGGATCTACCTGAACAACATGGAGGTCAGAGGTCACCAAGGTCATATTATTCTTTTTTAACGTAGATAACCTTCTGGCTAAGCCCAGTTAAATGTGAGGAAGGTTGGAAGAGTTCAGAAGTCTGAAGTAGCAAAGTACTGTGCGATGCAGAGTGCGGGGGGTCGGGAGTGTGCGGCGCAGAGTGCGGGGGGTCGGGAGTGTGCGGCGCAGAGTGCGGGGGGTCGGGAGTGTGCGGCGCAGAGTGCGGGG